TACGAAGATTTGCTCCGAGGTGATTTTCTTCTATGAAAGAAGAAATCTTCAGTGTCCAACACATAGGAAATCTGCCGATATAATACACAGATCATAAGAGAAAAAAAGATCCGACGAAGTGATATGCATGCGACCACATCGATAATCCATAATAGGTCATGTAAGAAAGAGAGGTAAAGATTAAACCGCATATTCTTAACTGCAAAATACCTTGTATGAGTTGCAAGCTATCTTATTCTCTAAACCATTAACCAGTTCAACACCTTCCATGGCCATGCAAATAGCAGCAAATTCATCTAGAGTTGCATACTTTTTCTTGTTTCTGCAACAACAACAACAAAATCCTATTCCCATATGCAATGGGGTAAGGGGGAGGTAGAATAGTAGGCATGCCCCCAACGTCAGGTTGAAAGCAGCTTCCGTGGAAGACTTCCGGCAGTCAAAAAATTAAAAATAATGATAAAATGCTATGCATGTATAAATAAATAAATACATAGTTAAACAGTCTTCATATGCGTGTCTGTAATGGGAAGTAAACAAAAGCAGATTAGGAATGCATGAATCGGACTTGGGTGTTAATATAAGATATGGGTATGTGTCCAATTTGGTTATGCTTAAATGATCTAAGTTTTTCTAATGTTCTCTAAGTTATACAATTGCATGCAGATACTTCAAGAAAAATTGAAACTTGAAGCAGTATCAGAATAAGCATTACTAATCTGTCCTTTGCTAAAATCATCTCTAATAGTAGTTATAACATGAGAGGCTGACAAAACCTAACATTTACATATCAGTTACTACCTCCTCAGCATAATGCCACGTGGCTCCTTTTTGCTGGGAAAAACTGAGAGAAAATCATTGTGAAGAAAAGCTGAAAAGTTAGGTTCCATGGAAACTGCAAATGCCTCTGGCTTTTCGATGACATTATCCATCAGCTGAATAGACAAACGAGATGGCGAAGGTGACTGCAAAAACAAAACCCAGACAAAAAAATTGCATAAACATACATAGAATTAGAAAGATAGGGAAGCATGGAAACTTACACATTTCAGTCGGTATATATTCTCCTCATGGAGGAGCACACGAGCATTCTCATAATACACAGAATCCATTGTCTTCCCATATTTTCGGGAATTTTCATACTCAAACATTTGGAGAAGCTTATTATCCATATCATCGACAGAGACAGCTTGAAGCTGGAATGAAAACTACAATTCAGAACAATTGCAGGAGAAATTAGAATAAAATAATGAAAGACAAACAATTTAATAAAGCAAACCTGCTTAACCAATTTATATAATAACTTGTCCAATGTGAATAACACATACGACTGGTTTCCTATTATAGCTCGACATTCATCCTCAAACTTCGCATTATCAGCAGATCCATCTAGCAGACTATACAGTGCACTCATAAATCTGAATAGTACAGAGATAATGTTTTTGAAATTACAATGCATTGGACCTTTCATATTGTTTCAAAATAAAATTTATATGTAAATTACCTGGCATATAAATCAGTTGGACTAGCGTCTTTTGAATTTTTCAACTTCATTTCAGAACCCGTTGAATTTATTTTTGCAGACAATATTCTTTCATATAGGATCTAATAAAAAATCAAACATCAAAGAATACTTATTAAATGCCTGACAAAAATTTGAAGAAATAACTAAAAGGCTTTAGATGTTCAACATACTTGATGAAGTCTGAAAAGAACATAGAAATCATCATTTGCATAAAACACGCAAGAACTGTTTACAGCTCTTCCAGATAAAAGTGGAGGTACATGCTTTGCAAGAGGCTTCACCGAGAGAAGACACCGTTCCAAAACTGACATGGGTACACAATCTCCTCCCACACGTGTATCAGCTATCTCTTCGGCTTCCCCTTCACTCTCTGCTTTACCATAAACTTCATCCTGTTCTCCCTCTTCCTCCTCTTCGTGGGAGCACTCATCACCTGGAGACTCGCTTCCGGATGCATCATTACCTGCCTCTGAGGCATTTTCACTATCCTCATCAGCAGCATTGTTTTCACCTCCAACATCCTTGTAATTCTCTTTCCTGTTTACAGGCCGGTACTGTCTGGTTTCACCACCATGATTTGCCTTGGGCACATCATTTAGACCATATGCAACAAAATTATCCGCTTAGAATCACCAGTAGGTGATAATTCACCTTCTTCTTTTTCAATTTTTGATGGACCAATGGATTCGTCATGGTATTTACTTGCATTGGAGCCATCAGTAGCCCCCCCATTTGCTAATAAAACGTGTTTTGTTACATCACCACCCTGAAGTACCAAGCAAATTTGTGTAAGCATATTACAACAAGAAGTAAATAAAAAACCTCCTTGCTTTTCCACCTCAAGGCCCTCAACAAGGATTATGTAGCCTGTGTATAGTCATTTTTCTTAAAGCATCCGTGACCAACATGTATGGGCATGGTGACGAAGCTATAACTCTTTATGGACCCTTCAAATACATAAAAAACTTAGAAAAAAAAATGAGTATAACCATTTCAAACACATACCCACATCTGACACTCGCAACTGAGTCCAAGTGACAAAGGAATAAAGAAGTTGATATGCATAAATCCATACCTCTAATGAATGTACGAGACAAGCATTAGCTTCAGGTTCATGATCCTCGCTGGCAGAAATGCAAGGTTTAGATGCTGTTGCATCACACCCTTGAAATTCAAACTAAACTCTCAGTATTGCAACATAATTTTGGGAAGGAAGTAATAACTAGAATGAAAGTAATAACAGAACTAGGTTAACGGACAAGAAAATCACAAGTGATTGTTAACTTTTTTCTGACATTCGCACCTGAAGCCCCTTGAACACTGTTTCTGATTTGATTATTTTCTGCTTCAATTGCAAGGGCTCCAAGTCCACTTGTATGCTTGTTAATTGCCGGCCTTTTATCATCTATAAATGTGATCTCTTTCTCTATCTTTGAATCGTCTCTACATACACGGTCCGGGCATTCTTCGTTGGGTGAAGTTTCCCCATTTGTAAAGCCCTTTCTGCAAGAATTAGTTTGTACTGGTGAACTGTTCCCATCTCCATAACTAGCAGCAGCAACAGCTCCAGGATTTCCATCACTTTCAGTAATGCTTGATGTGGTGCAGTTTACGACAGGATTCAGAGCTTTACCAGCATCATTAGTAACCTCTCTGCCATAAGGTCGAGGAGGAACACCCAACATTGGCTCCAAGAAAGTGGTCCAGAGCCTCATGATTTTATTTATTCTTTGGTTGAGAAAATCTCTTCAGACGAATATTCTATAAGTTTATATAGGTCTTCATGAATGTCGACATCCAAATATTCATATTCGAGGTGTGGAGCTACAGTTTTTCGGTGACCAGCAAAGCTAGCCACAAGATCATCATCCTCTTTCTGGTTCTTCTCTTTCAACTCCTTGATTTCAGCCACTAAGGCTGCAATTAGAAAATGGGATCAATTAGACTATATGAGATAAGTGATAAGAATATAGAAAGGCATAGGAATCAACGCACTATCCTCAAGAGACCATAGCAAAGCATGCGTGATGTGACCAAACTTTTAGAATCCAACAAACTTTTGGATTTAGTGCGAATGAAAATATTAAAACCCTTCAGCCGGATATTGCAACACTTGAAAGATAAGTATTAAACATGTAGTTAAATGGTTTCACATATGGTTTCTAAATCTACTCTTTTAGACAACATATTAGAAAAACAAGTTAAGAATCATCAATCAATCTTTCGATCAATTTTGCAACATACGAAAATGCAGCATGATATTATCATATGGAAATTCCACTTACATTTTACGCTCAAGTTCTTCAAATCCTGCTGTTTGAAATAGAAACTGCGGTGATCAAGTGATTTGTAATGGTTTTTCAAATAAATTTCAGCCCAAACCTTGTTAAAATCTGAACGACATTTTTTCCACTCTTCTTGCTTCTGCTTCAGGTGCGTTAAAATGACTGACAATGCAAGAGCAGGAGTTTTACGTACTATTTCCAATGCATCAAGACCATGGTCACCGTACAAACGCTCAATGCACCTTAAATTTAGAACTGCAGTAAGTGGGTCAGAAGCAAACGTTACAAAGATGAATACGTTCACATAGCAGACTCACGCACATAATTTAATCAATCTAGTAGAAGAACAAACGAGTTAAGTGTTCTTCTACACGAAATGGAGACTCCATATTGACTTTATTTTCATTAATGCTGTTCAGAAAGTCCTCCACACGCTTGGCAGTTGAGCTCACAGATTCTAACAACATATCCAGCTCAAATCTAAGACCATGAAGCAAGAAGTTAATTACATCTTGGACTTAACATCAAGAATTTCAAAGGGAATAGAAAACATAACTAATAAGTTCACATTGATTTTTCTTCAGCAGAACTCGCTCTCACCCTTACAAGCAACAGAATAAATAAATTACAAAAAAGAGACAAATAATCACTATATTGATCTATGTTACTCCAACTCAAGTGTGAATGTCAGAAACGGGTATGTGTCTAATCTATCATATGGCTATGCTCAATTTATTTTTCAAAAGTTTTTCCATGGAGAGTCCTTAGGAGGGTCATATCCATATCCGACTGTGCATTGGACACGTGCTTCAAGAAAAATGAAGAGTCAAGAGCAACATAGATATTGATTGCATACAGGGTACTGGGACAAATAAAGGAAGACCAACAAATTTTACCTATCGTCCTCGCATCTAAACAAACTCTCTTCATATTGGTTTCTGCGCATGTGCTTAAAAGAATAATCCTCACTTGCCGAAGTCACAGATACCCAATGATCATTCAACACCTGAGCAACAAGCTCTGATCTCTGACTTGCTGAAGGTATTGGATACTGAGAAAAACACCAAAGGACGTCGATATCAGTACCGAGCCATGCATGGTTTGCAAGTTGGAAAAAAATCAAAAGTTAATACATCATCAGGAAGAAGCCGATAGCTTGGAGTACAACATTGGCAGTCAGAAAGGTCAAGTTATTGTATGGATTTTTCCATGTACTTCTCCCTGGATCTCTCCTTTTCCTTAGGTTCCTCCATTTCGCGTTTATGCTCTCCCTCCTTCTCCAATTTGAATGGCCTTGATGCATGTGCATCACTACTAAGTGATTCTGCAATCAGGAGGTAAACATTATTGCAGTTTACATATAAGAAAAGAAATCGCATCGAACAAGACTAAACTAGCACAAACAGGTTTATGGAAAATTAGAAAACACCAATAAGAATAAGAAATGTATAAAAAAATTACAAAGAAAAGTAAGCTACCAATTACATACTTTTACTAATGACACCAGCAAGGAGCCCATCTGCAGGAAACATTTAAATTAAGAAATGGCCTTCAAGATAAATAATCAAATGAAACAACTCAATGATGAAACTTCAGTAGTCACCAGTATTCTCACAACATTCCAAAAACTGATTGAACTCGATCATAAGATCGGGATGCTTGCCAAGTAAATCTGTCACCTGAAATACACATAAAGCAAGGTAACAATATAATTAGACTACCAACACAGATAAGTGAGTTGTGTTTCTTGATAATTCTACAAATATAAGAAGAATGGTACGAAAATTCAAAGATTACTGCAAGAGATATTGTAAAACATACCAAATTTTGCAAATCATTTCTTTTGATAATTCCATTGCTATAAATATTAAGGCACTTTAAGAATGCTTGGTAGTCATCTGAGCTGCACAGTCTCTCCTTAACTTTCTCACAGAATATGAACCCTCGGTTGCACATACCTGAGATTGAAATAAAAAACTAAAACTTCAAGAGGTTGATATGTTTCCCTCAGGTTAAAAAATGTATCTTCCCTAAATATGATAACACCCCATAAGAGCACATAAAAAAATTAAGAGCTGATTTAGCTAAGAACATCAAGATGCAAAATCATGATAGACAAACTAACCCAATATTGCTCACTCCTGGATATCAGTTGCTTCAAAATTACATGAAACATATGTTGTATGCCAATGGAAATTCCTTAACAGTCAAAAGCATCATTTATAAGTTGCAACAAGCATGATGAAAGCATATCTCAGCATAAATAAAACAACAAGCTCATTCTTACCAGAAAATCACACTAATGATTGATGGAGAAAGGCATTGAGAAGGATATATTATTAGAAATATATAACAAAAGAACACAAAAATGTCATCCTAAACACCATTAAAAATATATATAACTATGATATGATTTCTTTTATCATAACAAAAGAAAAAAAGAGCTGTCAAAAAGGTTGATAAAACTCACTTTTTAAAGTATCTTTGTTATCATAAGAAGCCAATCCTTCAATCTTCCTTCCAGATCTTTTCTTATCTGAAAAACCCTGCATGTTAAAATCCCTGTTTTCATGCTCAGGCTCGTCCTGATCACGAGTTCTCCGGTCCCTATTTTCCTTTTCCACATGCTTTCTATGCTCCTTTTGCATTTTGACAATAGCTTTGTCATCATCCAGGTCATGACAATCAACACTTAGATCCCGATCAGCACGGCAAGTAATCCTATCCCTCCGGCGTTGCTGAAAAGGAAAGATAAGTATTATTTCATATCACAAACACGTAAAAATGGCAACTAACAAAAAAAATTATATAAAGAATAGTTACTTTGTCCATTTGTGTATGCCGCATGTTGGGTGTGGCAGAACTTCGCTCGTTATAACACTGAGTTGAGTTTCGACCATATGGAACTTGTTGTGTCAAAGGTGCACCAGAAGAATCTGGTAAAAATCTAGTGAACTCCTCAAGCAGATCTGAATGGTCCTCAAAAAGAGAAGCAACCTGGAAGTGATGAAACAACAAACAAGTGACGTTTTCTGAAAAATATGTTTATAAGATCTGGTTAGTATCAAATAGCCAATTAACTTTGGTAACAAGCCAAATAAGACATTTAACCTCACTGTAGACCTCATTTATGTCCTTGTGTTCCTTCCGGTACATATTCAAGATATCCAAGAATGACTTATTGTAGGAATTATAGAGATGATTTGTTACCATTCCTATAGATATATGATTTGTTACCATTCCTATAGAGATATGATTTTGTAAATAGATTTCTACAATCTCTTATTTTAAGGGATCATATCCTAGGATTATTATTTTTCCTTTCTTAGAGTTTCCCATTTTAGAGAGAGATTTTGTATATAAATATGTAGTCTGTCATATTGAAAAGAATAAGAAATTACAGAGAATTACTCTGATTTCTACATGGTATCAGCTTAGGTTACGGTTTCTTTCCAACCTAGATGATGTCCACAACTTCTTCTCCTACTCCGGAGATCACTTCAAATCCAGAAAATTTTTCTGGTTCTGCTACTCAATCAGTAGGTAATTTGGTCATGAAAGAACCAGAAGGTAAACCTCTTGCTACAGTTTTTTTCTCCTCCCAGTCGTCCCCTAATTGGATCCTTGATTCTGGTGCTACGGATCATATGACTGGTAATAAAGATTTGTTTTGCAATATTTTTCCAAACTTTGATAAAGCTGTCAAAACGTCTGATGGTTCTTTGTGCAAAATAGAAGGACATGACACTGTTATTCTCAATGATCAGATTGTACTTAAAAATGTCCTCTTCGTACCAAATCTGGCTTGCAATCTCGTTTCCGTTAGTAAAATTTCCACCGACTTGCACTGCTCTGCAATTTTTAATGATATTGATTGTACTTTGCAGGCACTGAACTCGAAGAAGATGATTGGTAAGGCCAGCTTGCAGAATGGTCTCTACATTCTTCCCGCCTCTACTAAAACCGAAATCTCGAAATCTTTCACCGCTTTAGAAAAAGTTGATAATGTTATGTTATGGCACTATCGTTTAGGTCATCCTAATTTTCACTATCTTGCAAAAGTTTTTCCTACTCTATTCATTCATAAAAGGCTAAATTCTTTTTCTTGCAAAGTTTGCTCTCTTGCCAAACATACTAAATCAACTTATTCTCCTTCTACATATAAGCCTTCTCACCCTTTTGCTTTGATCTACAGTGATATTTGAGGTCCTTCTCGGGTGAAGAATGCTGATAATTGTAAGTGGTTTATCACTTTCATTGATGATCACAGTAAGATAACTTGGACTTATTTGCTAAAAGATAAATCTGAAACTGCAGGTGTTTTTACCCAATTTTATAACATGGTTCTCACTCAATTTTGGTAAAAAATTCAACTCTTTAAATCTAATAATGGCAGTGAATTTTTTGCTAAGTCTTTGGGTGCGCTTTTCAGGGAAAAGGGCATAGTTCAGATTAGTTCTTGTGTTGACACCCCCATAACAAAACGGTATTGTCGAAAGAAAAAATACACCTCCTTGAAATTACTCGTTATCTTCTTTTTACCACTAATGTTTCAAAATATTTGTGGGGAGAAACCTTATTAACTGCCACATATTTAATCAATCGAATGCCTAGTAAGGTTTTACAATTTCAAACACCTCAATCTATATTTTTGCAATACTTTCCCCATTTTAAACCTATCTCCTCCATTCTTCCACTTAAAATATTTGGTTGTACTGTTTTTATCCAAAACATTGCTCCTAATAAATCCAAGTTAGATCCTAAATCATTAAAGTGTGTACTGGTTGGGTATTCTTCACTTAAGAAGGGTTATAAATGCTATCATCCTCCTTCAAAACGATTTTTTACCACTATAGATATAACATTTTATGAGCAGGATCTCTATTTCATTCAGGCTGAAATTCAGGGGGAGACATGGAAGGATTTTCAACCACATCAGGTATCTCATCCTACTCTTCATTCGCAACCTTCAGAATTGCCACCAATTTTGTCCTTACCTACAGATTTGTCACCTGTAACTACTCCCATTGATCCACCGGTAGTACCTATCACTACTTCACCCATACCCACTTTAAATACCCTTCCTGAAAATACGCCTACTCCCATTCAAAATATTCCACAAACAACACCAATCAAACAGCTCCGTTTCTATATAAGGAAAAGAAAACATATTCCTGAGGCTGTTTTGCAATCTGATGCTTGCCGAGAATTGGATTTGGGTCCAGCTTCCAAAATAGAAGAAGAAATCAGTAAGTCCACTTCCCCTACTCTAGATGACTTCCCTATTGCTATTAGAAAAGGGGTTAGACAGTGCACCAAGCATCTTATTGAAAAATTTGTTTGTTATAATTCATTGATGTCGTCTTTTCAAGCATTTACAACAAACTTGGATAAAGAACAGGTTCCCACAAGCATAGTTGAAGCTCTAAAGGATTCAAAATGGAGAAGGACTGTTAAAGAGGAAATTTGTGCACTGGAGAAAAATGCTACTTGGACTGTTACGAACCTTCCTCAAGGAAAAAAGGTTGTTGGCTATAAATGGATCTTTACTGTAAAGTATAACTCAAATGGTAGCATCCAACGATACAAAGCGAGACTAGTGGCCAGAGGCTTTACACAAACATATGGGATAGATTTCACAGAAACTTTTGCACCTGTGACGAAGCTGAATACTGTTCGAGTACTCCTAAGTTTGGCTGTAAATTGCGATTGAAAATTACACCAACTTGATGTAAAAAATGCTTTTCTTAATGGCAAGCTAGAAGAAGAAGTCTATATGAAGTTGCCACCTGGCTTAAAGTCTGTTGAAGGAAGTAACAAGGTATGCAAGCTCAACAAGTCTCTATACGGGTTAAAACAATCACCCAGAGCTTGGTTCGAGAGGTTCACTAAAGTCATCCTAAAAAACGGCTACAAGCAATCCCTCGCCGATCACACTCTTTTCATCAAGGTAACTTCTACAAATAAGAAAGCTATCCTTATTGTGTACGTGGACGACATAATTATTACCGGAGATGATGAATAAGAGATTTGCAATTTGAAGAAGTTGTTAAATAAGGAATTTGAAACCAAGGACTTGGGAAAGCTAAGGTATTTCCTAGAAATGGAGGTGGCAAGGTCAAAAGAAAGACTTATGATCAACCAAAGAAAATATGTACTTGATTTACTCAAAGAAACTGGTTTTCTTGGTGGTAAGCCGATTGATACACCAATGGAGGCAAGCTTGAAATTTAACAAAGAAGATGGGTCCTTGGTAGACAAAGAGAAATTTCAAAGATTAGTTGGGAAACTAATTTATTTATCATTGACAAGGCCATATATAACATTTCCTGTAAATGTGATAAGTCAACACATGACTAATCCTACTGAAGAGCATATGACAGCAGCAAATAGAATTCTCAAGTACTTGAAGAAAACTCCAGGATACGGTTTATTGTTTAAGAAGGCACAAGACAGAACTGTTAAGATCTTTACAGATTCTAGTTGGGTCGGAGACCTTACTGAAAGGAGATCTACTAGTGGCTACTGCACCTTTGTTTGGGGAAACCTTACAACTTGGAGAAGTAAGAAATAATCTGTCGTTTCAAGAAGTAGTGCTGAAGCTGAATTTAGAGCACTAGCATTGGGAATATGCGAATGAATTTGGCTACTTAAACTACTGAAAGAACTTGTCACTAATCAAGAGGATCACTTTGAAGTTTTGTGTGATAATCAATCTGCTATTCAAATTGCCAAGAACCCAGTTCAACATGATCAGACAAAGCATGTTGAGATTGATAGGCATTTTATTGCTGATCAAGTTAACAAAAAGGCAGCCACACTTTCATACATTCCTTTAGAAGAACAAGTTGCAGACATTCTTACTAAGGCTTTGCCAAAGCCTGTTTTCAATAAATTCCTATTCAAGCTGGGATTATACAATGTATATTCTCCAGCTTGAGGGGGAGTGTAGGAATTATAGAGATGATTTGTTACCATTCCTATAGATATATGATTTGTTACCATTCCTATAGAGAGATGATTTGTTACCATTCCTATAGAGAGATGATTTTGTAAAGAGAAAATAACATCAGTGACAAAAAATGCCTTATAATATGCGATTTTAACCAACTTTTTTTGGATTTGCCAAAGTAACCAACTAAATCGCAATGCGATCGATAATTCGCAACGCGATCTCCGGTATCGCAAATCAGTTTCCAGATTCGCAACGCGATTCTGACTATCGCATTGCGATTTTCCAAATTCGCGTTACGATTTTCCTAATTCGCAATGCGAATACGTAAATCGCAATGCGAATATGTAAATCGCAACACGAATCTGACTATCGCAATGCGAATACGTAAATCGCAACGCGAATCTGACTATCGCAATGCGATTTACATAGCGCCATTCGTATCCAACGCGTATTTTTTTTTCAAATTCCAAACACGAATATATTAATATATCGGAACACTGAACCGTCCACAATATATCCCGTAATCGCAACTCATAACCTAAAACCCTAAATCACAACTCAGTCTCATCTCCATCTCTCACTCTCTAAGGCGACATCCGTCCCCATCTCCGACGAAATCAGTCCCCATCTCCAACGATATCAGTCTCCATCTCTGGCGAAATCATTCACGGTCAGAAATGGAAAATCAACCAAATCAACCACCGATGGTTAGTTTTTTTTAATTATTTTTATTTTAAAATTTTTGCATTATTATTAGGTTTTTCATATTGAAATTGATGATAAGTTTACAGGGTGTTTTCAATAATAGATTAACCATTTCACTTAGATTGCTTATTATATTCATTCGATTGCTGCCAATACTGCTAAACTGTTTAGTCTTTAACCCTGTGAAGTTAGTATTTGTCTTTGTTTTGTCTTTTGGTTGAAGTAATGCAATCTATTCAAGTTTCTTTCAATTTTAGTATTTGAAACCGAGAATGACTATCGCAATGCGATTCTGTCGTTGCGATAGTCAAATTCGCGTTGCGATAATCATTTTCGTGTTGCGATTTTCATTTTCGTGTAGCGATTTTCATTTTTCGTGTTGCAATTTTAAGTTTCAGAAACTATTATTCTTCTGTAAATTGAAATTTGAATGAATTGCATTACTTCAACCAAAAAACAAAGACAAATACTAAATTCACAGTGTTACAAATTTAAG